TTAGGACTGACTTGGAGTCAAAAAGGGTTTTTAGAAACAGAACACACAGAGTGGCTAGTAAAAGTGAGGAATTTGCTAATTAGTAGGTGATATAGTGGAAGAAGGAAAATATGGCAGGTATTACCTGGCAATTTGAACATTAGGGAAATCAAACGGGCTCTGGAGAGTGGGGAGGAAGTCTTTCCCTCTGCAAGTGGACTTGCGCAGGGTTTCTTCCTGTGGAAACCTTGACAGTTTCTTTGTATCTCTGCTAACACAGTAACAATTTCTACCCCAGGGTTGAAAGGAAAGGTGAAAGAATCTACTTAACCTAGCAAAATGTTTTCCTAGCCAGTCTTCTCCTGCATGAAAATGTTTGAGTCAGTGATTCCACGGGTAGGGTTGGTGACATCAGAGCCACTTCCCCCATTTAATGCTATAAATAATAAATGGTGACACTGAAAGTCTGTTGGATAGTTGCATGGTTTTTGTGGATGATGGTATCTGGGGATTTGAGATGCATGTTTTAAAAATGGAAGTACAGTAGCATAAATACAGAGGGAGTTTAATATTTGCTATTATTTGCATAATTCACAGAACTAGACTAATCCAGCATTCTTGAAAACTAGAGGGGAAAACCTTTGGTAGTTATCTGATTTATGCACGCCTGCATGTAGATGTGACTGTTTTCAAAGGGATAATGTCACCTGTGGGTTTTTATTTGATCTTTATTAATTGAGTAACTTTTCCTTTTCAGCATAATTTATCAAACTGGTCAACAGTTTGATATTTGGCACCTTTTGCAGTGGATTATTTTGGCAAAATATCTTAATTGGAGTGATGAACACATTTTTAAGGATGTAGAATATATGCTCTTTAAACAGGAGGAGTTTTTCATATTAAAAAGCTGTAACTTAGTACCTCTGAGTGCTGTTCTGCACTCCTTCTGTTTCCATTCAATAAAAAAAAAATAACTAAAATGTCTTTATTTTCAAAAGAATTAGAATAAATACAATGTAACCCATGTCAGTACCTTTGAGTATATGGTTGGGATGCGGGGGAGTCTTTACATTTTAAAACTGGTTTTTAAATTTGCTGACTTTCCAGGCTGGAGTTGTGGTTCAATGGTAGAGCACTTGCCTAGCAAGTGCAAGGCCCTGAATTCGTTCCTCAGCACTATATAAAAAAGATATTGTGTCCAACTACAACAACAACAACAATAAAAAAATAAATTTGCTGACTTTCTATGCTTATAAACTTTAAAAAGTTTTGATTTCAGGACTGAGGGAGCAGCTCAGTGGTGGAGCATGTGCTTAGTATGCATAAGGTCCTGGGTTCAATCCCTAGCAATCCCCCCTCCCCCCCAAAAAAAGTTTTGATTTTATTGATAGTAATTGTTTCTGGTCTGAAAAGAGATTTCAACCATCTAAGCATATTATAAACTAGGATTTAAACTAAGATTCTTATAAAATTTAACAAAAGAGTTTCATAGTTACTATCAATTTAAAAATATCTTTTCATTTAAGTGTTTTGATAGTTCCTGAAAGGGATATTAGATAAGAGACTTGGATGACCCTTCTCATAAACATGTATGTGTTTATGTTAGTGTAATAGATGACACAGGTGCTTAACCCACTGATTGAGTAAATCCAGGATCAAATGCAGAATGATAATGCCTTACAGTCCAATTGCATGTGGCTTTAGTATTCACTACATTTTTTTCCCTTAATGGTTATCTTCTTTTTTTTATTGATTTTATTATTTTTTTAAATACCTGACAGCAGTGGAATGCATTACAATTCTTTTTTTTTAAATTTTTTTTTTTTTGTTGTAGTTGGACACAATACCTTTATGTTTATTTTTATGTGGTGCTGAGGATCGAACCCAGGGCCTTGCACATGCTCGGCGAGAGCTCTATCGCTGAGCCACCACCTCAACCCATATTACAATTCTTAATACACATATATACCACAATTTTTCATATCTCTGTTTGTATATAAAGTTCACTACATTTAAATTACAATTTTCAGAAGTAGATTAAAAAATTTTTTTATATTGGTTTTAAAATAGCATGATTGAAGAAGGGGAATGGTTAAACTGATGGTATTTTGGGAGCCCAGAGCATGAAATTTATTTTAGATTTTTAGTAGATAGCTTCAGAATAATTTTATTAGCCAAAAATTTGTAATTATAGTATTCAATGGTTAACAAGATCATTTTCATGTGATGTTCTAGAACGTGCTATATTAAAAAGAGGAACACGTTTCTAGTTCTCCATTTCTTAATCTCATCCCTCTACTTTCTTTGTTGATTCTTCTTTTTTTGCACTTTTGAGAAGATATTACTTTTTTTTTTTTTTTTAAGTGCTGAGGATGGAACCCAGGCTGGTGATCCAACCCCAGGCCTCTCACATGCTAGGCAAGCACTCTACCACTGATCATTTATTACTGGATTAGTAGGAAATAAAGCTAATTATGGTTATGCTTGAGGGTGGGGACATAGATTAGTGGTAGAATGCATTTAGGAGTCCATGAGTTCAGGACTGGGGATATAGCTCAGTTGGTAGAGTGCTTGCCTTGCATGCACAAGGACCTGGGTTCAATCCCCAGCATCAAAAAAAAAGAAAAAAAAAAAGTCCTTCAGTTCAATTCTAGCACTCCCCCTCCCCCCCCAAAATATATATGTATGTACACACATATACATATATATAGTAGAGTAATTAAATCTCCAGATTTCATCTACCCTCTTGTGATTATTCCTTCTTGAGGCCTAGGTTCAGTAAAGATGCTTCTCCCCCTAACCTTTGGCATAGGAGTCAGGCTTTAGTTGTCTCAAGCAAAAGCTTATAGTCTCTACTAAATTTTCAGTTGCTGATAGTGAATAATTTAACCACCACATGACTTTCATGACCTTATATTGGCCCAGTGCTTTACCTGTTTTGTAGGCCTGTTTTTCAAACTTCCAATTTTGGTACTGTCAGCTGTATTATGAGTGAAATAGAAGAGTGGTAATCCATTTTGGAAATATAGAAAGTTCCTGGTAGGCTTTGCTGGAAAGAATGCAGACTGTGCATTATGTATCATGTATTTATTAACTCATGAGTTAGGAATAGGATTTGATGTTCAGTCACTCATCAGTAGAAAGCACTCACAAGAACTGCTGATTGGGAGAGAGAAATGGTTAGTCTTTTACATCAAGAAAATTGATGTAAAAAGTCTAGAAACTAATCCTGCTTTTTTCTTTGTTTTCTTTTTTCCTGGGGTGCTGAGGATTGAACCCAGGGCTTTGTGCATGCGAGGCAAACACTCTTCCAACCAAGCTATATCTCTAGCCTTAAACCTGCTTTCTTTATGGGTGTGAGGGGATCTCTTTTCCCTTTGCACAATTAATGGATGAGCTATACTCCATTATTAGATGTTGAATGATTCCCCTGTGTTAAGTGACCTTATGTGAGTCATTTCCTTTCTGTGTTATCTCTAAAGTGGTTGAATTGTTGAATGAAGTAATATAGATTAAAATACATTAGTCCTTATTAAAGTGTGATATAAATGCTATTTTTAGAGTTGCTGAAGTACAGGCAGATCACAGGGCCAAGGAGATAAAAGAAACTGATAAGAAAAGTTATTGGGAATTTTCTCGTCTCTCTCTTTTTGGATCCTTGTTTCCCCTCCCCTCTTGGTGACTTTCTAAGTGATGAAAGTGGATTGTCTAGTGACTCTATCAAGAAATTGGATTTTTGT